ACTAACTAAAAATAAATAAATAAATAAATATAAATACAAACAAATAAATAAAAATAAATAAATAAATAAAAATAAATACAAACAAATAAATAAAAATAAATAAATAAATAAATACAAGTAAACAAATAAATAAATAAATAAATAAATAAATAAAAAATAAATAAAAAAAATAAAAAAAAAACTTACGTCTAGCTGCAGCAGCTGTTGCCTGACGAAATGTTCTATATAAATAAAACTAACGAAATAAATACAAATCTAACTAAATAAACCTAAATATAAACAACTAACTAAAAATAAATAAATAAATAAAAACAAATAAATAAATAAATAAATAAAATAAAAATAAAAAAAAAAACTTACGTCTAGCTGCAGCAGCTGTTGCCTGACGAAGTGTTCTCTGATTCGATGAAACGAATTTCGTATTTCTTTGAATTCTTTTAAAGAAGAAAAAAAACAACGAGAAAGAGGATCAAAATAAACAGCAGGAGAGCCGCTTAGTGCACTTACGTTCCGCTGCGGCACTGCATATAAACAAAAAGAAATAAATACAAACAAATATAAATAAACAGAAGTTTATTTATATTAAAAAACAGAAAAAAAAAGAAAAAAAAACAAAAAAAAACAGAAAAAAACAGAAAAAAAAAGAAAAAAAACAACGAGAAAGAGGATCAAAATACACAGCAGGAGAGCCGCTTAGTGCACTTACGTTCCGCTGGGGCACTGCATATAAATAAATATAAACAGAAAGAAATAAAGAGAAGTTTATTTAATTAAAAAACAGAAAAAAAACAAAAAAAAACAAAAAAAAACGAGAAAAAAGGAAAAAAATAACAGAAAAAGGATCGAAGTACAGAGCAGGAGAGCCGCTTAGTGCACTTATGTTCCGCTGCGGCACTAAATATAAACAAATAAAAATAAATAAAAATAAATAAAAATAAATAAAAATAAATAAAAATAAATAAAAATAAATAAAAATAAATACAGCACAATAAAAGACAAAAGGAGACAAAAGGAGACAGAAAAGGAGACAGAAAAGGAGACAAAAAGAGACAGAAAAGGAGACAAAAGGAGAGAGAGAGAAAAGAAGAGACAGAATAAAAGATAAAAGGAGACAAAAGGAGACAAAAGAAGAAACAAAAGGAGACAGAAAAGGAGACAAAAGGAGACAAAAGAAAAGACAAAAGGAAGCAAAAGGAGACAGAAAAGGAGACAGAAAAGGAGACAAAAGGAGACAAAAGGAGACAAAAGGAGACAAGAGAATAAAAGAAGAAACAAAAAAAGAAACAAAAGGAGACAGAAAGGAGACAGAAAGGAGACAAAAGGAGACAGAAAAGAGACAAAAGGAGACAGAAAGGAGACAGAAAGGAGACAAAAGAATAAACAAAAGGAGACAAAAGAATAAACAAAAGAATAAACAAAAGAAGAAACAAAAGAAGAAACAAAAGGAGACAAAAGGAGACAAAAGGAGACAGAAAGGAGACAAAAGGAGACAAAAGGAGACAAAAGGAGACAAAAGGAGACAGAAAAGGAGACACAAGAAGAGACAAAAGGAGACAGAAAGGAGACAGAAAAGGAGACAAAAGGAGACAAAAGGAGACAAAAGAATAAAAGAAGAAACAAAAAAAGAAACAAAAGGAGACAGAAAGGAGACAAAAGGAGACAAAAGGAGACAAAAGGAGACAAAAAGGAGACAGAAAGGAGACAGAAAGGAGACAGTGTATGTTTACATGGTGGGGGTGTTTCATATATATGGGGCAGTTTATCGTCTGTACATATCAGCAACACACGCTCATACACTTCTTCTTCTTCTTCTTCTTCTGCTGCTGCTGCTGCTGCTGCTCCTGCTGTTGCTGGTGATGCTGCTGCTGGTGATGCTGCTGCTGCTGCTGCAGGTGATGCACCATCTGCTGCTGCTGCTGTTGCTGCTGCAGCTGTTTGTGGTGCTGCTGCTGCTGCTTTTTTGCCTGCACCACCACCACCACCACCACCACCACCGCCATCAGCAGCAGCAGCAGCAGCATCATCACCCTCATCATCAGCAGCAGCAGCATCAGCAGCAGCAGCAGCAGCAGGAGGAGTTTGTTCCTGCTGCGTCCCCGTTTGCAGATAGGAGGCCCAGGAGACAAGCATATGGTAGTGACCTTTATAAGATAGATTTCTGTATGTTTTATATTGCTGCTGCAGCTGTTTGTGGTGCTGCTGCAGCAGCAAGCTCTCTGCTGTCTCTCTTTCTATCTCATCAGCTAGCAGCAGATGCTGCTCCTGCGTCATTGTATCCTCTTGCTGC